AACGTAAGTCACACACACAAAAATCATGAAAAAAAAAGCCACCTCATAAAATTTAAGTTTATTGTATTGGGTCACATTCATAGTACCAATGAGGTCCCTGCAGCGCTGAATACCCCTTTCTGATTCTAATTATACCTTCCAGCATTACATATACACGCTGCCTTGTGGAAAGGGGAATTGTTGGAACCTAAAATTCCATCCTATTCACTCACCAAGTGCCACTAGGTGCTCGACCACTCTACGCCCTAGTCGGGTGTCTCACAAGGCAGGTGCCATAAGGAAGCCGCGACCTAGCACCATTGCCCATTCATTGGCCAGAGCCTGGCTCCGGGAAACGTTGTTAGATAATGTCCAACCGTCCACGGCGCCCCGGATTGGCCGACGTCACTTCCTCGGTTGGGGACAGTCCACGCAGGAGCCTGTCTTTACAGAGACCCGCCTTACAGGGCGTGGCCAGAGCGCTCCCCACCCCGCCCCGGGGAACACCGCACCCCAGAGACTCTTCACTTCACTTGGAAACAGTCCCAGGACTCGGACCACGAAGACAGCCGAAGACACTCGCCAAGAGCCGAGTACGCCCGGAGACGTTCCGGACTGGCCGGAAGCGGAACCGAGCCGAGCCGGAAGGCGCTGAGCCCACCTGAAGGTTGCTGAGCACCGACCGGCAGGCGTAGAGCCCAGCACAGTCCACGTCATGGCGGCGGACCGGACAGGTGTAGCCGGAGGAGGGACTGTCGGCGGCTGTTTGACCAAGGACAGTTTACAGGATGCTAAGTGCCCGGCGGCAGTCCCCAATCGGCGGCGCGCTTCCTCGCTGTCTCGTGACGCGCAGCGCCGAGCCTATCAGTGGTGCCGAGAGTACCTGGGCGGGGCCTGGCGCCGAGCCCGGCCGGAGGAGCTGAGCGTTTGCCCCGTGAGGTCAGAGGTCAACCTCGGGGTCCTCAAGACACTCCCTATTTCGATGCTGTCAGTGCTACGCGGGGGAGGGGGGAGGGAGAGGGGGCGGAGCCAAGACCAGGTCGGCAGACTCCTGTGCTGGGAGGGGGTCGGGATCTCCCTGGGGGCTTGGTGAGATCCTTTCCGGAGTAGGGGCTAGGGTGGGTCTCACCAATCCGGGAGACTTTTTGCTGAGCCTGACCGGTGTGGATCTGCAGCGGAGGCCTTAGCAACCTGCTCTTCCGATGCTCGCTACCGAACCACCTGCCCAGTGTGGGCGAGGAGCCCCGCGAGGTGCTGCTACGTCTGTATGGGGCCATCCTGCAGGTGAGGGGGAGCGAGGGCCATAGTTTGAAGTGAGCAAGTGATGCAGAAACTGTTGTGGTAATTGTGTGCCCGAGTATGCTGCTCCAGAATCCCCAATCAGTAAGACCAGAAGTCCCAGCTGTGATGGGTGAAGAAAACATTCCTTTGCACCCGTGCCCACTCACCTCTGACTTGGGCTCCTTTGCCATCTTCCTTCAGGGTGTAGACTCCTTGGTATTAGAGAGTGTGATGTTCGCCATTCTTGCAGAGAGAGCATTAGGGCCCCAACTCTATGGAGTGTTTCCAGAGGGCCGCCTGGAACAGTACCTCCCAGTAAGAGCCCAGTTTTTGTTGTTTTTACTAAGTCCTTGCCCTTCCCCATTGTGTGCCTTTACATCCTAGGTAGGGAAATTTCCCTAAGACCTTGATCTCCTTCCATCCCATATCCCTTACCCCCTCCCGCCCCAGCCCCCTCATCACCCTGATAGGTTACTGGGTACAGAGCCGGCCATTGAAAACTCAAGAGCTGCGGGACCCAGTGTTGTCAGGAGCCATTGCCACAAAGATGGCCCGTTTCCACGGTATGGAGATGCCCTTCACTAAGGAGCCCCACTGGTTGTTTGGGACCATGGAGCGGTGAGTCAAATTTGGGAATGCTACACCTAAACTGAACCAACCTCTAGTTGAGTGAATAGGTTTCCCAGTATCTATCATAGATTCATGTTTCCCAGCCAAGTCACAGTGACCTAACAGTACATAGGAGAAGGGGCTAGGGAAAGGTAGGAGAGTGAATGTATCCTATTTTGGGGGGCTTACAGGTACCTAAAGCAGATCCAGGACCTGCCTTCCACTGACCTCCCCCAGATGAACCTGCTGGAGATGTACAACCTGAAGGATGAGATGGGCAACCTCAGGTGAAGGCAGACTTGGCATTTAGCAGTGTCCTCCCCAGGGACTGCTGAGGACTAGAGTCAGGGCTAGCCTTTGAAGGTGGCTGTTGTCATGTGGCCTAATAACCTATGCCCCTCTACTTCTATAGGAAGTTGCTAGATGCTACTCCGTCACCAGTGGTCTTCTGCCACAATGACATCCAGGAAGGTATGAGAAAGTATATGAGGCTTCCAGCAGAAGCTGAAGCGGGTAGAGTGCCCTGAAGTGACCCAAATCCCCATTCCCCCAGGGAACATCTTACTGCTCTCAGAGCCAAAAAGCGACGACAGCCTCATGTTGGTTGATTTTGAGTACAGTAGCTACAACTACAGGTAAGGGTGGGAGGACAGCTTCCTGTGGAACCTGCCCCTATAGGGCTCTGTGAGAAAGACTGCTAGGCTTTCATTTCTGCATGCCAGCTGCCCATGGACTGAATGTTTGCATTGTTCCCCCAGGGGCTTTGACATTGGGAATCACTTTTGTGAGTGGGTTTATGATTACACCTTTGAGGAATGGCCTTTCTACAAAGCAAGTCCCACAGACTACCCCACTAGAGGACAGCAGGTATGTAGGCAGGAGGCTGGGAAAGGAAAAAGCATTTTGTTTTGTTTCGTAAAAGGAAAGAATGGCTAGAAAGGGTAATATTCCACAGTGTCCCCAGTTCCTGACTCTTATCCATTGATCTCAGCTCCATTTTATTCGACATTATCTGGCAGAGGTTCAGAAAGGTCAGATCCTCCCTGAAGAGGAGCAGAAGAAACTGGAAGAAGAGTTGCTGATGGAAGTCAGTTGGTGAGAAACGAGGGGAAGGGTGGTCGTGAGGGGGGATATAGGAGGAGGAGGAGGATTGCAGGTGAGGTGCCAGTATAGTCATGAAAGATGACATCTAGCAGAAAAAAGCAAAAAGAGTTACAGTGGGGTAAGGGCTAGGAAAATGGGGGAGAAGTTGGGGCTTTGGAAACTGACTAGCCTGGGAGGAAGCCAGGCAATATAAGTGAACTTTTGATGGCCCCGCCTTTTCTGCCCCCTATTCCCAGGTATGCTCTGGCATCTCATTTTTTCTGGGGTCTGTGGTCCATCCTCCAGGCATCCATGTCCACCATAGAGTTTGGCTACTTGGTAAGTAGCCCTTCCGGTAGGCATGTTGGGTAGGGGCTAGGTCATGTCCCTGGTGGCTATGGGCAGAACACAGCAGATATAGGCTACTGCTCACAAGCCTTCTCACCACTTTGTATTATGGGTTTCCTTCCTTAGGAGTATGCCCAGTCTCGGTTCCAGTTCTACTTCAAGCAGAAGGGGCAGCTGACTGGTTTCCACTCTTCACCTTGACAATCCAACTCCACCTCAGATTTCTCCTGGCGCCTCCAGGGCAGGACCTTGGAGGGAGGGGCAAAGAGCAGGAGACCCCAGAGACTGGGCTGTGCCTCTTAAGTGAAACTGTTGTGGCAAAGCTGACCCCTGTCCCCCTGTTTTGAGTAGTTGCCCAAGGTGGGCATCTGGGAACCCCTGGGGTTTCGTACCTAAATAAATGAACTTCGTCAGAAATACAAACTGAGGGATACAGATTTAAGTGATTTCTGTTTAGTGCACTGTTCTGAAAAGTGGTGAGAGGGTCCATCTGTTCCACTCATTGAGATCTCCTATTCCATAATACTTTGTGGCTCCAGTTTAGAAGTAACACATACTGACTTGGGCAAAAGGACTGGAGAGGGGTGGGGCAACAGCGGGCCCTAGACGTGACTGTCAACCTTGAGTCCTGGAATTAGGGAATAGGCTGCACAGCTGACTCCTGGTGACCTTTTCCCCACATTCAGCTATTTTTAGCACTGATGCAACCATACTCACGTGAGACCCTCCACTCTCCAGTCCCAGACCTTCCAGCAACCTTCAGCAGGCTTATGGGAACCCTGCCCACCCCTCCTAGGCGCCACACCAAAAGGAGGGGGTTCTGGTTTCCGCCCATATCTGTTTTCTCCACCCCAATTTGGGAGTGGGTGTCAAGTTCCCAGTGAGGGTAGGGCGGGGCCAGACAGGGGTGGCCAGGCCTGAAGGACGTGGGGACATGGGCCAGAGTGGCTAGAACCATACACCGACAGAAGCAAACCTGAGCTGTGAGTTGGGGACCAGCACACCGAGGCCCGCCGGACCCAGAGCCATCCCATCCCACAACTCTTCATTCACCCTACTGTCATCCGAGCTTTCCGAGCAAGGACTGCTGGGGTGCACCCTAATCTAGTCTCTGTCCAGGCCCATTCCCTTCCCTGGGCGTCTTTCCCGGACCCCAAAACGCCCTTCGCTGCCCTTCGGGCACCTGGAGCCCGACTCCTGCACCATTGCAGATAGGCCTGTCCGGAACCTCACGAGGGTTCTGCGGCGGCCGCGGCGGGGTGGCCGGGCTGGGGGGGGGCCGGCGGGGGGGG